CCAGTCCAGCCTTTTTTAGGTAAAGCTAAGTGAACATTAGTTTAGATAGCAAGGGCAGTAACTACTTGAGTTGCCTGAAGCTAACCTGTTTGGCTGTGTAAATGGATGTTTTGTAATAGAATTATTTCACTGCTTTACAGAATTATTTGTTACACTACAGTATTTTATAGATACCAATTGGTTGTAGTTCTATTTTAAAAGACAAGCCTGTGGCAAAAGGCTTAGTGGTGCTTTCTCTTACCTATCTGGTGGACTTAATACACCAAGATCCATTATCAACAGAATCTGGACTTTTTGGTTCTAATCTTCAGGAACCCTGTTTAAGTCTACATAAATCACTATTTTATGAAAAGACTTAAACATTTATAATAGAATTCTGACTATGTTTCTTGCTGCACACACCAATACTTCCTTTGTGGAAATTATAAAAAACCCTACTATTTTCCAATTTATTAATTGGAAATTTGCCTGAAGAAAACATTCGTGATCGCAACCCTAGAGCACAGTTGCAGCTTTAGAAAAATACTCAGAACAAGAGTTCTACTCTAGAGGGAGAGCTTTTTTCCAAAAACTGTTGTTGGATACCTCAGACCATACACAGTCTGAATTAAAAAAAGGATGAATTTTAAGAATCAGATGCAAGTCCTAGCATATGACTTCATGAAATGTATTTTAAGCTGATATCATGCAATGCACACTTTAGCATATAATCTATTTTAAGCCACATCTATAAAAAAGCACAAACACAATGGCATTTCTACAGTTGCAGAAGGGAAACAACACTTGTAAAAAAATGAATTATAAAGCATTTCTCTGCAGTCTTATCAGAACAGTTTCATTCTTATTCAAAACTTCCATGGATTGGGCAAATGTAATAGTCTAAAAGTCCGGTATCAGCATAAGAACACAGAAATAAGAACACTTGAAAATTCAGAGAATGGACAAGCCAGATGCCTAGATACCTCCTGACTACACTGCACAGTACCTGTGACTAGTCCATACTTGGCCATCTAAAAACTTGAAGTGTATGGGGTTTTTTTTGTTTTCTTTTTAAATTAGAATTCAATAAATGCATATGTATACAGTTTCACTATAAAATACAAAAGCAGTATCTGTAGGTGTATACTTATAGGTATTTCTCTTGAAACACAACCTATAAAGACTATCACCCACATGTTTAAAGAACTTGTCTTAAAAATAAGAGGAAAAATTGATTGTGCAGAGACATGAGCTTGCAACTGATTCTTAACATTGAGGCAGACACTTAGAAACTTAACTCACAAAAGACCCAACACCCACAACAACAAAAATTCAAATCCACATCCCACACTAATCAAGATATTTCTAAGCAGAATAGCAAGTAGACAACAAGTAAGAGATACACTTTTCTGGGCTTTTATATTAAGGATGGCTGCTAACAAGTATTTTTTTTAAGTTACAGACATTTTAACTTCATAGTAAAGCCGTATTGTATATTATAAAAAGTTATGATTTTTAAAATCGTAAATTGTCTTCCTGACTTGACTAAAGGAAGAATTATTGCAATTTGTAACCAATAGAGAATGAGAATAAGAATGAATATAAAAATGCTTTGGTGAAAAAAAGAATGCTGTTTAAACCAATTCCTGTTTGAGACAAGAACATACCTAAAGCTGGGAATGAATATAATAAGTAGCACTTTTGGTAAATAGACCTCTAGTAAATGGACCTAAATTATTATGGAAATTTGATAACCTTAAAATTGATGCCTACATAAATCCCATAAACAAGCCCATCAATTTCTTTTGCTGCATTACTCATTATGAAGAAATTTTTAGGATGTACTGTAAAAACAGAATTGCAGCTCAGGAATACCTGGATATGGACCAAGCAGAAACGCAGTACCTTTATGGTGGGTTTAGATAACCCATGTATAGGATTATAGACAAATAACTACCAAGCTTGAATTCGATACGTATCTTATCAGGACGTAGTTTTCAGATATAGACAAGTGATAGTGGGAAATTCTGTATGTCACTGATTCTTTACATAGCTTAGTAGGAAGCTGACATAATAACTTATAAGTGGGTCAACATTCTTAACTTGTGACCTAAAACCTCTAATAAATGTATCCAAATTAAGGCAATCCTTTTTTGTCCAAGCTCCAGAGCAACTGTGATGATTTAATGTCATAGTTGGAAAAGAAAAAATATTGATATGGAAAGAGTACACTAAATTTTAAGTGTGGTACCAGTTTTTACATCCATTTAAATAGCCATTTCAAATTATTTTATGTAATTTTTAGTCAAGTACCTATTTCATCATCCGTGTAATTGCAAGCATCTGTGAATGTCACACTTCAGGGAAAAATTTATTGTGTTCAAAGGACAGTGCTCATTTAAACTTATTTTTCAAACTAACAGAGGGGAGAATATCCTAATTGCTCCTTAGTAGAGCAAATTTTATCACATGCTATGTGTCACTAAAATTGGTATAATCAATTACACAGTTTGTTAGTTTTTTGTGAAATAAGGCAACTGCCTATTGGCAAGCTTCACCTTTCAGCAACTTTCTTAAGGAAACATCTTAGGAGTTCAGCTCTTAAGTCTTGCTTTTCCAAACTCTAGTTGTCTAATGGGCAGGAGAAAGCTGCAAAATAAAAGCACTCTTGCAAAACCACTGAAAACATCATCTATGCACATGTGATCACACCAAACTATATTGGAAACAATATACAATTATACATTTTCCAATTTTCATGTGATGTTTCAAAAACTAGAACTAGTGCTGAAAACAGATGCTACCACAGTCTTAAGAAATGCTAATGTCTTAAATAGAAATTAAAAATGTGACTTGGTATGCCACAATTCTACACCAGTGAGATATATTTAGATGCTAAATATTGCCTCTTGTTTCAGAGGGCACTCTAGAAGTATAAATATATTCCCTCTTACAGCTGAAAACTTATCTTTGTCCAAAGACAACAAGCAGACAAAATAAACTTACCTATAGTGATGTAGATTTAAGGCTACAAACTCCACACTGATACATTAAAGCCATTCAAGTCTATACCATGAAGTTACTTATACTTTTGTCATTTTGCATGATTACTTGTATTCTGTTTCCTTGGTCATTTAAAAAAACCAAACATTGCTCATTTTTGCAGATATTTCAAAACTTTTAATATTAAAAGTTTTAAAGAACTTCTCAAACTCAGTGTTGAACAATATGTAAAATGTCATGTAAAAACAGCAGTAAAAAAAAGTTGTTACCATAAAGCTCACTTTAGACCTTTTTCTTCCCAAAAATCGAGTACTTATGTAGGGCAAAATACTGATATTACTTTAATTTTTAAAATTTTCTAAAAGCACATGAACAGTCCCTATCTTCTAAATTTTATTGAAATCAGACTGCTCAGATTGCAGTAATTTCTAGAATATATTATTGTAATAATCTTGACTCAAAAAGTTTCTAGCTTCACTATGTTGAGGAATGGCTAGAACTAAAAAACAAAGGTGAACACAAAAATTAAGGTATCTAGAAAAAAAACATAAAATGCTTTAAAACCCTCTAATTTCTCTTTAAGTCTGCACTTCTGCCTCCCAGGTAACTCTCACAATAGATGCAAACTTAATAACGCAAAAAAGCTGCATTTACTTTTAAAAAAAGCCTTTTCCTATTACAAACTTGCCTCATCTGCTGCCATTTTAAAACCATCCTGTAGCTAACACGTCCTTTGTAATAAAAAACAGGATCACAGAAGGTGTGAAAATGTAAGTAATGATTTGTCAAGACATGAATTTCCATGTTTTGCTTGGTATTTCTCTGGCAGACATAACACAGTGGTGCTAATTAATTTTCCATGCAGAGGTTTCTGAACAGTGTTCCACATTTTAAAGGCTGCAGTCACAAGCAGAGGTTTCAGTATCTTTTTTCTAATGAACACTTCCTTGCACTCAGGAAGAATATGAAGATTATGAAAAGCTAAGTGACACCTATAAGCTATTCAGCAGGGCTATTATTTTTTTAATATTATATGTTACAGCTTCACTGAACTTAAAATAAATCTTTCCAATTTTTTAAGTGAAGGGGTGCCTAAAGCCTTTGGCTGAATTCCCAAAAGAATCCATACTGACATGCAACAGATTAAAGAGGAAGTAAGGCTTGATATTAAAAACTATCTTGATACCAGACAACATATATTATACTCATTTCCGCCCTTCATTTTTATTACTTCAACATAAATTTTGCATAACTGATGTACATTTTACACGTGATGCTCTAATAACGTTCTGTCAGTCCTATTGAACAGATTTTCTCTCAAGTCCTGAAGTTTTCAGAAGCTGAAATAGATTCTACATGTTATTTTTTCCCTCTTGATTTCACTTGCCTCATAAAAAGATGCAATATATCCTAATGAATGTACTGTACACCCATTTAACTAACAAATGCCACTTAAAAACAAACAGCATTTCTTTCTAATTATTTAATATTTTTAGGTCTTTCAGCTAGCTAGAATATAAGAGCAGAGAGTAAGAAATTAGTACATTGCTTGTCATTTAAATTTATATAAAAAGCAAAACTACACACATGGAGAAAGTTTAAATATTGGCAACAACAACTCTATTATACCACTTCATACTACTTTCTAGAGTATCGCAAGATTTATTTTTTTTTTTTACACAGCAACTTAATTTACGTAAGGATATTTTGTTATAAAGCATTGATTACCTTGCTATTACTGTAGTAAAATAAAACAGTAAATAATTGTGAATGCAATTACACAAAATGAATGATATCGCATTACAGAATCCTCAAATCATATTCTCTGAAAATTCTGAGGAAACCTTCATCTGTTTCTCAAGATATGCCCAAAATACTGAAAAAAACTCAAATCAAACCAAACAAACAAGCAAAACCCATAAAAAACCAATCAAAAAACCAAACCATCTTCCCACCCCCCTCACTCCCTTCTCAGTATGAATCGTATATTAAAATAAAAAATGCAGTAACAATCATACCTCTTTCATTCAGACTGTTTAGCACTGCCCTTTCAAGCTGTTCTTCTTCAGAAAGTCCACCTGTATAATCATAATAGCTCCTCGGTGATCTGTATTCATAACCTGAATAGTCATAATACTCTGTAAAATTAACACAAAATAAAGAAAATAAACTGCTGCTACTCAGTAGAAGAGTGTGAAGTCAAATATTATCTTTATGCTTTCTTCCACAAATTCTTTCAACTTGCGAAATAAAAATTATGATTAAATTACTTAAACAATATATGCCATGAATCCATTTGTAATTTACAAAGCCAGACTAGAGTAACAAGGAAGAGAAAACAGAAAAAAAGATGGATCAAACACCTATTTTATAATTGTTATATTAATAAACAATATATTAGTAATAATTAATAAGTGTCATAGAATTGCCATTACTAATCAAGTTTGACATAGAAATCGAAGGGTGCTTTTCACTTATCATCAGCTCTTTTTAACACAAATGTCAATTCCTGAGCACCTTATTAAATGTCAACTAGAACAACAACAAAATGAGTAAGCTTCAGGCTTCTTCCCACCTGTCCCTCCCTTCTCTCTTCAGTGTCCATGAACAATACATGCCAATGTCATCATAAATTCAAGTTACATTTGGCCCTAGAAAGCACACAGGAAAAGACTCCTGAGAAGTTCTCAGTGACACGTACAGCTGATACTGTGCTACTGCATGGCTACATCTGCCCTGGAAAAAAACTACCACAACATAGTTCTCATGTCACAGTCACTGTAGGTTGCCTGCACTATTGACAACCAAGAATTTCTGACCATTTGCAAAGTTTGTCAAAACCATGAACAAACAAACCATTATCCACCCAAACACATGGGATTTGAAAGAAAAAATTAAGTGACTAAAGAATTGAGCAAGACTCTCTTCCTTTTAACACAATGTGTTCTTACCAGAGCACAAAAGATCTGAACAGAAAAACTAAGGAGAAAAGTCCCATTTTTAATTCTATTTTTGCATCTTCAAAATATAAAGTTTTGGGTAATAATTTAATTTCTCTTCCAGACAGCTGAACAGAGGATTTTGAAGAACCACAGTACAGTAATGTATACCATTTCTTCCAACATATAGAAAATATACACTGGTTTTTAAAAATTAGAAATATTTGTGTATTAAACAAATCCAGCAGGCCATTCTGCTTTATCTTCAGATTATTAATGTCAATGATACTCTTGTGTTATCAGTTACACAAATTCCACGTGTAACCTTTGTTGTCCACAACAACGGGGATACTTCAGAGCCTGCCCAAGACAAGTGAAAAACCCCAGACTTTCTTTTTGTCAGCACAATATGAAGTTTCTTTCCTCAGGTGCTGCATAGTTCCCTAACATGCTAGATGAATTACATGAAATCTCTTCCATATTTTTTTTGTTGTTGTTTAGGAAGAGCAGGAAAAGAAAAAGAGGCTATTCAGAATCTGTTCCTGTTCCACAAGGGTGGCCTTTTACGCTCACCCAAGCTCCATGCAGCTGGTGTTTGTACAGTTGCTGCAATATATTCTGGAACTTAAATGTCAAGTACAAATTTTTGTTTTCATTAGCCATTAAAGTACCTTTTCTGATAAAAAAAAATCAATACTGGAATACTGGTGGAATATTTAGTTATGAAGGTGGAATACAGAGGAATACAAGCAGCACACCTGGGCCCTGGGGGACTGAGTAGTACCTGTAGCTAGGTGAACATCTTCAACCATGCTGAGACGGCTGGTCACAGGCAGCTCATGCTCACCACAGTCTATTTTCAAGTTATTTCATTTCACTATTAATTTAGTTTTATTTCTTTACTGGCCTTTAGATCAAGTGTTTTTTGACTTGAGAACTGAAATAATGGAAATCCTGGCTAAACATACTCCAAGTTACAACAGTCCTTGCTGCTGTTGGTAAGGAAAATAGTTTCAGATCTTTTTGGCTAGGAATTACAAAACATATGCTTCAAAATATTCCAAGGGCCCATAATTTTGCTTCTGGGAATTATTTAATGTAATAATAAAATTGGAGGTAGATCATGAAAGACAAAATCCATCCTGGAGAATAAAAGCAGCACTAACCTTGGCTAACTGTGGCTCAGAGTAAGTACACATCATGTATAAAACTTAAAAATAAAAACCCCTGCACTATTAAACATCAGAGAACAGTAAGAATGATCAAACATGTGAAGTAATTTTCATATAAGTAGCCACACAGACTACAACTTTTAAACCAGTGAGACAAGATTAATGTGGTGAAAATAGGACTGAAGTCTATAGAACCATAAATAATACGAAGAAAGTACATAAAGAATGAAGGTTTGGTTTCCCTTCCCAGAGAAGAATTAATGTGCATCAAATGAAATTAGTAGCTAGCAGGTTCAAACCAGACCAAAGTGATAGATGCTACACCAGGAAGTCAAGTCTGAAAATAAATTCCTGTCATGTTTTAGGTGTTAAGAGTTCATGCCAATCCAAAGAGCTTTTGACAAATTAATGGAAGGAGAATCCATCACAGGCTACTAAAGCCAAAGCTCTCCCAATAAAACCTTCTGCTGAAAAAAAAAAATCACAACAGTCCCATAAAGCTTTCCCAAGGATATCTTTAAGACACAAGCCTCTGCACACAGGCAGATATTTGTGCGAGTCACCACTATCTATTTATCCTGTTCTCACAGCAGATGCCTAGGAAAGAGTATAATAAAAAAAAACTGCAGGGAAGAAACTACATTAAGCTATAAATCCCTTAGCTTTGATCCCTCATGGGATCTCATGGCCCTTCTCATAGCTGACTCCTGTTCCGCCTAGACAGGACCTCCACATATTATTTCCATACTCTCCACATGACTCAATGCTCTGCATAAGAAGTCAATAAAAAAAAACTGCAGGAGAGAAGATACATTAAGCTATAAATCCCTTAGCTTTGATCCCTCATGGGATCTCATGGCCCTTCTCATAGCTGACTCCTGTTCCGCCTAGACAGGACCTCCACATATTATTTCCATACTCTCCACATGACTCAATGCTCTGCATAAGAAGTCAATTAAACACGTCATATTCAAAGCATGCCAGTATTCCAAATATCCATCTATATACTGTGAAGATAGCTTAAATATATTCTGGTGAGGAGTGAGCTTTTTGCATGTAAATTACTTGATCTACAAAAAGTGTTCAAAGGAAGAAGTTGCTTGTCAGAGAGGGTCTAGTCTCTGTGTCAGTGTTGGCTTGCAACACAAGTCATGACTGTAATTTGAGGTTTATAGCCTCTTGTACAAAACATATCCACCCTGTTCCCTAAAAAGGAAAGGTAAAATATGGCCACAGAAGTTTATCATGTGCAGATATTTTTAATATTTTACGTGTTTCCATTTCATTAGCTCCACCATAGGTTTTCCATCATTAGCAAAAAGGGTATGTCTAATTTTAAAGCTGGAATAAGTTGTTTGGTAAGTGGGCAAGAGTACTTACCTGAATAGTAGTCCCTTGGCCTGGCAGGGTCAGTGAATGAAGAAAAGCCACCTAAATCTAGGAATAGTACATGTATTATCCAGAAAGAGTAGTTACATTGTCTTTCTTTATAAAACACAAAATAAAGTTCAAAGTACTTTCAGAGTCTGTTTCATAAGCTACAAATATGGAACAAAGGGTATCTCTGCATTTTTTTTTATAGAGAATACAGTATTAGTAAACTTGTATGTTGTAGATTTTATAGTATTGTGCCGCGTTTAAGAAACAATCATGGAAACTAGAAAAATGTAAACCAACCCAAGAAATGTTCTCCAGAAGACAAAATTAGTAATTTCTGCACTGAGATTGCACTGTTAAAAATGTGTTAAAGCACAGAAAACTATGGACTGGAATAACACTGCACTGTTTCTGTCCTGCTACACAGGAGAAAACCTAAGCTTTGACCCAAGTACTGGAACACTCCCTCCACGTCTTAGCCTCACAGCAACCTCCACAGCAGCAGGATTTACTTAGTGTGTTTCACTGACAATACCATGGGAGTTACCAAAGAATTCTAGAATAATTCCATTTGGAAATAATCTCAGAAGGTCCCTAGCCCAATTCCTGCTCAGAGCAGAGCCAGCCACAAGATCTGACCAGGTTACTCAGTCAGGGCTTTGTATTTTCAAGTCATGAAAACACCCAAGAACAGAGACTCAAGAACCTCCTGAAACAGCACAACTTAATCCTAGACTATCCTAATAGCCACCAGACTGCAGACACTCCCCTGTCCTTGTGTCACAGAAACATGGTATTAACACTTAACCAAGGTGACACTGTTCACTCTAGTGAGATAAGCAATCTCATGGTTTGGTCTCTATTCTTCCACTTAAAACTGCTAAATACAGATGACTTGTAGACTATTACTAAACTGCAATAAAACCTTCTGTGAAAATTATGCATATCTGAATAATTTCCCACTACACAAACACCATTATCCATGGTCAACTTGATGGCACAGTCATGAATAAAGTACTAAAAATGTTAACTAATCACACAAAAACCCAAATATTCTAACAACTAACCTCACAACACAGCTATTTTGACAGGGCTTAGACTTCTAATTAAACCACTGAAATTTATGGGAGCATTCACATTAAAGTTTGCAGGGATGTATTTAAAACAATTTTAGACTAAAGATGTCTCAAGATCAATCTTTTTTAAAATAAGTATTATAGCAATATGAAAAGCTGTTGTATTATGTTGTTGGAAAGCTTAAGAATTCTGGTAACAAGTCCTCAAGTATCCCACAACTTTTTTTAAAACTGTAGAGACGTCCACTAGAATGGCTGCAAGTAGCAGAAATCAACATGGAAACTGATTCTGCTCTGACATATTTAAATGAAGTGTGGTGAAGCCACAAAAACTGACATTTTCATTGATATCTTTACACAAAATTTTACTCTTAACAAACATTTAAAAATAAGGTTAAAGATATTCCTCTAAATAAAAATACCTGAAAGCCACATTTACTGGTTCTTATAATCCGTATTAAAATAAAAAATAAATGCTTCTTATTCTGCACTCACTTTAATAACTGGCATATCTTTAATTGGCTAAAGATTTGCTGAGAATGGCCTGAATTTGGGTATGCAAGACTTACTGATTTTTTAATGAAAAATAGAGTATTTTAATAGAACAGATTATACAAATTGAACAAAATTATATACCTGCACAGACTTTCATGATCTTTTTCAGAGGTCCCATAGTGTACATCAATCCAACAAGAATCCCTGACAGATGCCCAGCAAAGGAAGTCCTACAAAAAAGGAAAATCTTGTGAGTGATTGAAAAGGGGGAGTGCAGAATTTGTTGTAAGAGAGGAAGTTCCTGAGTGAGACCAAGCACAGAGAAATTACTTGACTACAAGGACATAGCGTCAAGTTTTTTTTCTTCATAACTACCCTAAAACAGGTAGGTATAGACAGTTAACGAAAAGTATGTAGCCAATATCCTGAAGAAGCTGGAACATAATTGGAAAGATAATTTAAATTCCTTGTTTCAAGGATGGAATACTGTTTCCCTAAAAGCACTTAAAATAAAGACTTACTGAGTTAGGAAATTAGTCTTAATCTATAAAAAGGCAAATATGCAGAATTACACCAAAATGTCTAGGAAGGCTCTACCAAATCCATTTACAATTTCAAAATGAAAGAATAAATACAGTACTTTCTACTTCACTATCAACACAATCCTATTGTTAATCCTATTGTTATTGTTGAGATAAGCATGAATGCAGATCTGTTGCAATCTTTGTAACAGAGTACCCTCGAACTTGAAAGAACAATGAGTGTAAAGAGATCCAAATTCTTTTCTATACATATTAAAAATTTCTTTAAAAGATCATTGTCCATTTGCATATAGAATGAAAAGGCTCTAGAGTCTTTTGGGAAATTATCAACATGGAAGCATATCTTGATATGCCATGACTGGGGTAGTCTATAAATTCATAAACTGATTTTCAGCATTCAAAGAGTTAAACTCTTGAGTAAAACCAGCTTTAAACATTATTTGTAAATTGTTCACCTCTACTACGAAAGTAAAGAAGCCAATACACTAAAACACTACAACTTCCCAGTATATGCAATCATAAATAACCCAGTCCTCTGAGTTATATACTGCCTGTCCAAAGATCCAAGTAATGGGAACCTTTTAGCCATGATAAAGCAGCAATGACACCTCTGTTTAATGCAAAAATAGATTTAAACATGACACTTTTTACATCGTGGTCAGAATTAGAGAAGAGTTAGACAGTTACGCACTCATGACAATACAACTTCCAGGCACAATTGGTAAAAGTACAAAAGAAAATGCATATGTCACTAGAGGGAGATAAAGATCAAATCTAAATTCACTCTTTTGCCACATACTTAACCACAAACTTGCACTCTGCTATGTGGAGCTGCAGATATTTCCCATAAGTAACCATCAATTTATTTTTTAAGAGTAACACATGAATGCTGATGTCAGAAATTTATAGGTAAGAGGCAATTGCCAATATAAAGTTTCTACAAGAAACAGGACTCTAGTCAGAAGACTACAGACTAATAATCACTGTTTTCTGTTTCCAGATAAAACTATCTGTTCAACAATCACTAAGACACAGCATTTGTGGAAACAACCAAGATAAGAACACCAGAAGCAGAAAACAGATTAATCAAGAACAAATTGCATCAAATCAACCGAAATTCCTCCTTTAATAACGCAACAAGCCTCATAGAAAGGGAGAATTGGCAGATGTTACACATGCTGTAAGAACGCAGGAAAGTGTCACAGCATTTGTCATAAAGAAGGCTTAAAAACTGTAAACTCTAAAACTCCACTAAGCAGATCACTGTGTGTTTGGTAAGCCTGGCTTAACATTTCTCAGTGATACATTACCAAACAGGATATGAATGAAGTGGATTTCTGCAAGACTCTATTAAAAATATTATTTACAAACTACAAGCTAAGAGAAGCTGTAAGGATCACTAAAGATGGCATTACAATTTAAAGTGACCTTGACAAAATGAAGTAGTGGAAAGTTTGGAAAAAACAGGGTGCAATACATTAAAGTCAAAGATGGAGTTCTCAACATATCACACAAACATCAACTATACAAATCAGGCTAGAAGTGATTGGCTAGTAGAAGAGTTTCAGAATAGAACTTGGGGCACACAGTAAAGTATACAATAAAGTTCAGATCAACATATCACACCACTTTACTCAGTTCTCATGAGACCACCTAGAGCACTGTGTCCAGTTCTGGAGCCACCAACATAAGGAGGACAAGGAGCTCATGGAAATCCAGAAAAGGGCCATGAAGATGATTCGAGTATTATCTGGAGCACCTCTCCTATGAGGATAGGCTGAGAGAGTTAGAGCTGTTTAGCCTGAAAAGAGAAGGCTCTGGGGAGACCTCACAGCAGCCTTCCAGTGTCTGAAGGGGCTACAGGAAAGCTGGGGAGGGACTTTTTACAAGAGCATGTCATGAGAGGACAAGAGGTAATGGATCAAAACTGGACTAGGGGAGATTTAGGTTAGACATCAGGAAGAAATTCATTAGTGTGAGGGTGGCGAGACACCAGAACAGGTTGCCCAGGTAAGTTGTGGAAGCCTGAAAGTGTTCAATCAAATCCATGTATTTATACTGAAGTTTATTTCTGAATTGACACAACCAGAGATATTGCAATTTTTATTCTGGTCTAGCTAATGTTCTATCTGCTACACCACACCATCTGATGAGGTATGTCAGTACTGCCCTCCCCTTTAAAAAAAAATAATTAATTTCTGAAAAGTGGGAAATTCTACATAAATGTACTTTGCATACATTCTCCAATGTGACTGACAATTACAAAATATTATACAAGAAAATTCCCAATTTGCAACTAGAACTCCAGAAATCAGCTGCCAAAGAAGAGAAAGGCACTATTCTCACAGTGGCAGTGGCAGATGAACTGTGCTGGCAGAACTAAGGACACAGGAAAATTGAGGGAGGCCACTGGCAAGACTGCAGGGCAGTAAAACTGCTTAAAATCTGCTGAATACTGGATCATAGCTTGATTATAAATTAGAGGAGCGACTACAACAAATGGGCATAAGGGACTAGGACAGAAATAGCAAGCAAACAGTGTTTTGCTAACGAAGCCCTTCGCACCACAGTGTATTAGTCTGGTTACTTGGCTGAAAAATGATGTTCCTTTTTTGCTTGTCCATCAGCTTTTTTTATCTTCCCTCAAATGCTTACTAATACCTTCTGGACACAGTATTTTGTTTTTAAATGTGGTCAAAATAGAGGTCGTTAAGGAAAAAAGCAGACTGTAGCCTCAACACTTAATTGTACCTCAACACTGTATGGATGCCAGATAGCACTACACGTACTTCATAATACATTTCAAACTACTTCAGATGGCCCAAATCTCTTCTCCTAACTGTTAAGTATGAACCACACTTACCCTGGGGAGATCAGATGAATAGCCACCAGCTCCACCCAACAAGCATATTTACTGGCTATCTGCAATCCAAGGACACTGCTAACTCTTCCTGGATTGTAATGGTTGTTAAGAACTTTCAAAGCAAACAGGACTCCTGCAAACAAGAAGAAATTGCATAAAGAGAGAACTACTGGTGCCCAAACAATAAAGAGAACAACTACTGACATTGAAGTATCATGCAGTTTCACAGCACCACAAAGCACACTGTTGGGTGCCAGAATAGTCCTAAGCTGGTTTTTTCAGTCATACTTTTCAGTGACTTTAAAAAAAATAAATTATTCTACACTGCTTGTTAATATGCCTACTCACCATAGCTATTCAGGTATTAAAATCAATAGAAACAATTTTTAAATGAGAGTTCTACTTGAAATAATCTACAAGATGGAAGCCAATAAGATGTTCTGTGATTTGAGAAAAGCCATTACTGAAAGCAAGACAAACATAAGTTTGTGAAGCTCAACAGCAAGCTCAATTTCTGAATGAATGGAAAATTATCTTACATATATACTCCAGAATCACTTATTTCTGAAACAAGTAGATAAATCCCCAGTACCACTCCAGGGGACAAAAGGCAAGTCTGTTTCATCCATTTTAAAACATTAATCCAACCATCCTAGAACTCTTAAAACCTAGTAAAGTGAATTGGTCATAAAAATATAGAAATACTTAAAGTTATTATTAAGAAAAAGCTCATTCAAGACCCATTCCATATATAAGTCACTTGCTCCAACTGAAAAGAAATTATGTATGCTGAAGGTCACGTTCAGAACACTGAAGGTTTAGAAAGATCAACTACAGATACTAACACTGTCAGAGCTGCCCAAATAAAAGTCAAATGCACATGCACAAAGGCTGCAGTCCCACATTTTCAAGTTTTGGATTCTCAAAAGGATGCTGCAGATGGTAAGTCACATCAAAATGGGCTGCAATACTCAATGCTAGATCTGAACTATCTTGCAGAATAAATAAATCCCTAATTTGATAAAAAGTTTGATTTTTTTGTCATCTGCACAAATGGCTTAGTAAGTTATAGGCTTAGTCTCACTTTTTAAATTTCACTAGCAAATCCAATTTATATACTCCAGCTAATACTGTAGTACACCTGACACGAATCTCTTGTAAGAAATGAAATGGGGCCCCAACCTGGCCCATCACTGCTGCCTGTTCAGTAACTTGGTGCCTTCTGCTGTAATGCAAAGCAAAACTTGCATCACCTGGGTAATTCTATCACAAAATTCAACTTCCCTTCCATTGGGTCAAGAAAAGGGACATTTAAGTTGTTATCTGGCTAAGTGAGAAGCTGGACACAAATCTGATGAAAAGAGATAACTGTAGAAAGTCCAGCTAAGATGACTGAGTGCAGATATTTCACTCATTTTGTCACTAATAATAATAATAATCAGTAGAGTGCTGCAGTCACTGTTGGGGAGCAGCAAGAGTTAAATCCTCTAAAAAAGGAATATCCACACGGAACAGAGAAGCAGCCAGGCTGCAGCCTCCCCCATGGGCCCCAGTCCCATGGTCTCTGAGCAAAGCATACAGGTGGCAGTTAAGTGGGACTAGCTAGGAGCCCAAAGCACCAGGAACATGCTCCTGCCATGGCAGGCCTGAAGTCAAGAAGTCACATCAGGACCTAGGTCAGAGAAGCATGTAGCCAGGCACAGATGCAATGCAGCTCAGACATGAATGACACAGTGGGCTTGAGCTTAGAGAAGCAGTTTTTGAGCAATAGGGGAATAGGCTCCCAGTGACGCTCCTCTCAGCCAGCTCAAACACTTTTTCCCACTAGTCTGAGGTGGGTCACAGGTGCCTTTCACTACAGCTGTCCTTGAGCACAGGCAGCCAAACCCCTCAGGGGAAAAGGCTGCACTCATGGCCCTACAGCCACCATAAAGACCAATATAAGAACTGGGCATGTCTCATTACCAAAGGGTGGATGAGCAGAGAACAGGTGAAGCTACAAATAAGCAACTACCAGGATCTTCCAACTAGTACCAAGTTGAATACCATAAGGAACCCTTAGAGATGTTGAAGAACTTCTCTCAGAGCTTGAAAAGGAGAACTTGCCTTCTAATGTTAGCCCCCAACGACAGCTAAATACAGCATGTACATGCTTTAAAATAAAAAATAGGACAACTTTACTGAGATGACAACCACATACATGCATAAGGATGCACACCTATCAATTTTCTGCATTCAACAAATATTGCTATGTAGTACCTATAAATATTTTTTCATATGTCAGTTGGACTATATGTCTTACCTGAAAAACCTACAGCACAATTCATTTCATATGAAGGATCATCCAGAATTTTCACAAGCATGAATTCCAGCACCATATAAACAATTCCAATCAACACTGAAAATACTGCAATTATGTATGCAAACCATATGCTCTTAAGCTTTTTTTCCAGCATCATCCCCTTCCATAGCATGGAAATCATGTTATAATATAAATGCCAGTCATCTGCATGGTGGACAGGAGAAAGCAGTAAACGTTGCCAGTTCTGTCTGTAGAAGCCTTCATGTACACTGATGCACACTTCAGACAGTGGCCTCACAGGATTCAG